GGGCGGCGCGCGGGCGGAGCGCGGGCGCTGCCGGCACCGGCCCGCCCTGGGCCGGACGGGAGTGGCGCGGCCGCGCTGCTGCCATAGCAAAGACAGGCTGCAAGTTCGCCTCTGCCGCCTCGAGCGCCTGCAGATAAGGTGAAACAATGCATTTTATGATGCTGAGCTGCTAATTGATTGCATTTTATTTGATACACCGGGACGAAAAGTAAACTGGGAAAAAAGTTTGTCATCTTTCTCTAGAGCATAAGCTAAAGAAACGCTTTAGAGTGAGGGAGGAAAGGGGTGGGGGGATGCGTTTGGGTTTTTTCAGCCTGAGGTTGAACTGTAGTAGCACTCGTGGCTCTGTTACCGAGTTTTTTTGTCTTCACCTCTACAGCGGGATTAATGAGCAAGGACTGGGAGCTGGCAGCAGCTGCCGCTCCCGATGCTTTTGTCATTTGTGTCTTATTTCCTTCAGCAGGCTTGCACTAGTGCAAATAGGGAAGCATCCATGTCAGCACGATTACTCTAAAAAAGCTACAGTAGGGAGATAATTAAATATTAATTATATAGATAACTAGGTATTATTGTCATGTATATTTGAGTATAAAATAAATGTTAATCATACATTCCAGATTTTGATCCATGCAATAATAAAAGCTCTGTCCACAACCGGCAAAGCAATGGCACTGATATTCTACGTAAACTGGATATGGAGACTACAAAGAAGTGCAAACTGTCAGACTGGATGAAAACCCAAATGAATAACTCATTTTCAGATGCATTAGGCTGTAGCACAGATGTGACTGAAGAGGAAAAAGATTACTTAATTTATGATGGAGATGTAGGAATAAGCTGTAAATACAACAATAACTCAGAAAATTTGAATGCCTGTAGCTGTACAAAAGATACTTCTGGTATTTTAAACTTGGCCTGTTCTAAAACTAACAAAAACATAAAAGCAGCAGCCAATTATGAAACTCCTCTACAGCCTGAAGAATTCTCCAGTTATCAAAGAGGCACCAGAGGAACAACTGGAGTTCCAACTGAAATGCCTGGAAGTGAAGCTTCCTTTCAGAAGGAATTACCTGTTGGTAGCTCCAGTACCCCAGACAGCAAAGAACAGGTAACTACCTCCAAAATGTCCAAGGTCCTCCTGCGTCATCTTCCTAGGGGAGAACTACTAAGCACATGCCACTTAATTGAATGTGAGACAATACCAGAGGTGTCCTTTACTGAAAGTATCGATGACACTGGGAGCAAACCTGAGCCTTCAGAACGCAGCAAAGGCTCTTTAGTGTTTGAACAATGGGCAACGGGCTCTGAGGAGTATCCCTTAGAACAGCACGAAAAACTAAAGGCTCATGACAAACATGGAAACTCATTAAATGGAAATAGATCTGTTTCAAAGAAAGCTATTTTTTCTTCTGGTCAGTGTAGGTGCAGACAAGAATATTCACAATTGATTAATGAGACTGGAGATGCACACACCTTTCAAAACATCACAGACATGAGAGGCCTGTTTAAGAGAACAGTTTCACCTTGTGAGCTCAAATATGGCCAAGGACAAGCTCACTACTGCCTTCCTGACTTCTCTGAAGTTGCTTCAGAAGTTCAAGTACCAAAAAAACCTGACAACATTACCTCAGTTCCTTCAACTGAAAGAGAAAAACCCTTTCCTATTTTGCAAAGTAAATCAGTAACTGTGAACAACGTTTTGGAAAATAAGAATTACTTCAATTCTGCTGAAGTAGAGAATCAAGAAGAAAGGAGTATTTCAGAACTGCTGCGACAGCTACAGGTAATTAGGATGCTTGAAGAAATTCTTCATACTGGATAAAAGTGGTTCATTGTAAGAAGACATTCTTATCCCATAAAATCTAACATGACTAGCTCTACAGACACTCTCTAGGTATCAGTGACTACATCATCTGACTCAAAAACTACTTTCACAAATAAAGTTCTGTCAGACTGACTTTATACAGAACTGTTATTACCAATTATTTAAAGGCTGAGTAGTATTTAGTACTCCAGTATTTAACACTGGAGCATTGTTTTTGATGATAAAGCATCCTATCAAATCATTAGGAAATCCACTATAAAGAGTTATTTCTAGTGTTGAATGTTTAAAATCATTAAAAATACTTCAAATACATTTTTAAGAACAACGTTGTATTTTTTACTGTGCCCATCTTAAGATATGTTTGCCTTTTTTCACATCTAACACTCTTCAGCTACTGAGACTGGTATTTATTGACAAGTCAGTTTTCTCTAAAGGATTTTTTTGACAGCAATATTTCTTTTACTGTTGTTTATTTATTTTAAAACTTGTTAGTAATTAGATAACCACTGTTCAATTTCATGCCCTGACATGGAGCTCACTCACTGAGCTTTACAGGTTCTTAATTCTGCTCCTAGATTTACATCTTTGTAAATTGAGATACAACAAGTTTTAATAGTTTTCCCTATTATTTCCTGGCTGCAAATGAGATGCTGACACAGCATGCTGACATCCGGAATCATACTGACCATCTGAGATTTAACCCTAAGGTAAATATCTCAAAATACTTTTTTTTTTTAAGTCATTCTTCTTTACCTCTAAGACTATGACTATCCCCCTAAAACTATTTTGTCAACTTGATATGGTATTTCCCATTTATGCAAATCCTCTATGTGTTCACAACACAGAGAAGTATTTTAAGTATCTATACAATGAGACACTTTACACATCTGTCAACTCAGAAAATTAAATGGTACTGTTATAATAAACATTTTATTAATATTTTGTACTTTGAGTTAGTTTTTTGTCTAGGTCCATAAGTGTTCTATACATTGTATCTATAATGAAGGTTCTCATTTTAACAGATACTTCCTCAGTCAGACTTTGCAAATGCCAACATTGCCATTTCCTCAGGACACACTGGGACACCACCTGATGTCATCACATTACGTGCTCCTGTCCCTGTACAACCTACACATGGTTTGCTTAAAGCAAGTAAATAAAATTACAGTAGCTATGCAAATGACTATTTAATATAATTTGATTACATTTTTGGGCCGAAATTGCAATTGATCAATATTCCCTTGTATTCCATAGGACTGCAGCCTGGAATAGCAGCATCAGCACTACCAGCAGCTGGGACAGTAAAAGCACAATGTCTAAATCCTTCTGATTCACTGCCAGAACTAACACTAGGAGAAAAGATGTCTCAAATACTAAAGGATCAGACAGAGCAACTGACTAAGAAAGTAAGAGATCTGTTTCAATATATACTTTGCACTCATACTCAAATTCCATACTCTCTTGGAAAATCTGTTTAAATATAACAATTAAGTCCAATATTTTGTCTTGAAGGTGGAAGACTTCTCTGAGCAAATGATCCAGGAAACAGTCTTCTTACAAGACAAACATCTGGTAAATGAATTTATGTATTTTGAGCTATGTGAAATGCACTTGAAATGGCTGTAGACTGACAATTTTCTGGCAAGATTCTTGATGTATACCTGAAATGGCTATTTACTCTTCCAATTCAGATGAAGGTATTAGATTAGGAAGCAAAAATGAAAGTGTTCAGTAGGTGGACAAATTCTTAAATCTTTTAAGGATTCTGACTTAAAACTATTAATAAAAGGCCTGAAATTGCCATATAAGTTAGGAATTTTGACATGTAGGGCATCAGTTCAGAAATAATTTTTATTATTTTACTTGGACATAATAGAGCAGCACAGTGTATTAGGTGAATATACAATATGCAGTCCTGTTTCAGTTGAGAGAACTACCAAAATTCTTACCAACAGCACTGCAAATAACATCTGGCTTACATAGCAAGACATAGTGACAGGTACTTATGCTAAGTTATCATGACATTTTGTATTTAAATATTTCTTATTGATGAAGGCATTAAATCAACTGAAAAGATACCTTGATGCCTTGGAAAGAAATTATTTAAAAGCTAGAGAAGAGCACCACAACTTACAGCTGCAGAACTACAAGGACAAGCCTATCAACCTTGGAGAGTTTGATCCTGAGAGGTTAGAAGAGAAGTGCTAAGTAGTACATCAGTATATTTTCTTTGACTGTTTTACAGATTTTGCTTCCATTAGAGTTTGCTATCCATTAGAGTTTTCCTGAAATGAAAATATTATCTTAATGTGGTAAACTGTAAGTTGTTTGGCCAAAATTCACCTTGGGCTTTGTATGTCTTACTTGTAATTGGATACCTATTTGATTAATTCAAATACTTCAAAGGGACTCTGACAACTCCAAACATTTTATTATTTTATGGGAAATGTACTGCAATGTCCACTATGGTTATCATGGTAAGAAATAAAAGATCACTTTAGAGAGTTTTAAGTAACTGTGAGTTGTGATTGGATTTAGAAGGGTGGAAGGAGGAATATTCAGACTTGGCATGCTGCTTGAAGACATTCAAGAACAAATGGAAGGCAGCAAAGGCAGCCTGTCATCGTTACCGACTTCCTATGAATCTGCCCAGTCTTTCTGTGAGGTAACTGATTTTTATTAACACTACCATTGTTCTGTTTTATTGATGCAAGTCCTGAGAACCTAAGTGCAGTTGTGTGATTGTATGTTCTTCTCTAGTAAGAGCATGATGCTTTTAGATAGCACATTACTTCAAAAGAAAATATTTTTAATGAAATATTAACTTCGTAATACGTAATTAACTGTAACAGAAACCTAAGTATAAAAACAAAACTACATTGAATGTTCTTAGTTCCAGTTTCAAAAGCATTTATTTCACAGTAAGAAAATATGAGTAGCTAATTTAACTTCTGCAAAGCTGTTTTGGGGAATTAATCACTATCATATGTGGGAGGAAAAATTACTTGGTCCAAGATCTTAAGCTGCAGAATTACTATAAGACAAACTGTATTGTACTACAGAAAGTTGAGATTACTCCTAAGAATGGTAATATTTTCTCCGAGAGCATAAATACACATACACACTCCCCCTCACCAAAGAAAAAAAAAATCTTACTGTCTTCTACAAATCTACAGGTAAGCCTCAACAAATGCTTTCATAACCAATGTTTTAGGTAACTTGGTCTTCAGAGAAAAATGCTAAGAGAGCCTGAGGAGAGGCTGTTTGGTAGGAATCCAAAGTTTTGTTGGTTTGGTTCCTTGCAATGCAAGGCCCACCTAAACCTGTGTCTACGCTTTGTTACTTTGTACAGAGCTTGGCAGTTTCAAGCACTGCTGATCTTCCACAAACAACAGGTACTGAAACTCCATCTTTTCACAAGAAGCATGAGGGAGAAAGAAGTCAGACAACTGATATAATCCCTCCAGCAAATCAACTTTCTTTAGAAGGCAAGAAGTGCAATCTTTGTCTGCACATGTAAGTGAAAACTTGGAAACGGCTGTTGAAGTTTTTATAAAAACATACATAAAATTAATTGCTGAATAAGAAAGTTAGGAAGACTGAAATCTGAAAAGCAACATTAATATTTCCAGAATAAAAATTATACAGAATTATATAACTGCATATCTAAGACTTCCTCCTAGCCAGGTCTTCCTACCTTTTTCAGTCTGAAAGTGTTTCCTGAAGCCAAAACACCACCATCACTTTTACCTAGGAGTTAAATCATAGTTCTGTATAAAATTCATAAAAATGTATAAAAGCCACACAAATTCAAGATGTGAATAACTAGTCAGAGTACAGTGTCAGTAAAAGATAATTTGCCAATATTTGTGTGGTATTTTTATTTAAACAAGAAAAGGGAGGGATGCAGATTCTTACATAATTAACAATCAAAACCTTCTGAAAACTCTAAATACCATCTCCTGGGAAGCATTTGATAGGTGTTAAACAACTCAATGAGATTAGAAAAATAAAATAAGTGGTCCCCCCATAAACAATCTAAAGTTAAAAAAAAGAGAACTCAACTGAGTTCCAGTAGAGAAGCAGAGCTTCTGGGAAAAAAATGCATGCAGCGTAAAGCACAGTCATATTAACCTAATTCTGTCAGATTATTTTATAGGGTAGGTGCTAACAGTTGTCTAGTAAAACTCACCTAGCTTCCACTTTTTTCCCTGTCATTGAAAGACTATTAGTTCAATCTTCTGATCATTATGTTCAAGAACAGGCAGAAATTTTTCCAAATAAACTTGGTGATCCTGTACACCCAAAGTTAAAAATACACATCAAGTAACTCAAACAAGGAACCTTGTTCTTTTTCTCTCAGAAGGTACATGTCAGATATTCCTCTGATTATCTAAAGGCAGTAAATTAAAGCCTTGATAACAGCTTAAAGTTACTAAGACACCAAATCATATTTAATGTATGTTGTATCAAAACACTATCAGTGGTAACAGATGGATGTATCTAAGATTTCATACTATACTATTCCAATACAGCATTATCAAGATCTCTACTTTTACGCATTTTTAACAGTTGTGGGAAGTCAGGGTGTTTTTGTCAGAATGTGTCCTTTAACTAAAGGGTTAATTATTTTTTAACTGGTTAATTATTAAACTTCTGCTTACCACCTTCTCAGATAACTGATACAAGTAAAGTTCTGTGAATAAATATTATTTCTTCTCAATTAAGAAGTAATTAATCATTAATATAAGATGTTTGTAAGTCACATCATAGAAATATTAAGACACAACAAAAATATTCTGTTTTCATTCTCAAAGAAATGCAAACATCCAGGAAGGAAAAACTGGAACATCTCCACTCTTCATGCAGAGAAAACCAACTGATTTATCAGATACCAACCTGAGTAAGTCATGAGGGCATATAAAGGTCAAAACCATGCTTAAACCTGCTAGGGAATCCTGTGAAGAAATACATTCCTTTTATGTCTCAACATGAAAATTGTAGTTTTAACAGATGTTACTGCTTAGCAGAGCACAAAACACTAAGAATAAAAAGGAAACTAAAAAGAATACCAGGTCAAATTCACTGTGGAACTCTCAGTGACAGATCAAGAGGCAACAGACACATTGCAATGCAATTTTCAGCTATATATGAATGAAAGATTTTTAACTTGGTCAAACAATGAAACAGTTTGCTCTGGGGAGGCTGTGGCATATCCAGTCTCAGAGATATTCACAACTCAATTGGACAGGGTTCTAAGCAACTCCTTTAATTTGGGCCTGCTTTGAGAGGGGACAGACCTCCAGAAGTCCTGTCCAACCTGAATTACTCTATAAATCTAATTCAGCTTTCTACATAAGTTTCCAAATATTAGCACTGCTAATACTTTCAAGAGCATGACAGTGACTTGCACACAATGCTTTGATTTTGCTTTTTCTTCTCATCAGCACTTATTTCATATTCTAGAAGATGATTCCAAGCTTGACAACTGAGTTACTTCATATCAGTACTTCCACTTTCAGTTTTTGGATTTGACTTCATTTTTCTGCTTAAAAACAATTTTACCTTTACACTGCAGAATATTCTGAAGCCTTCAGTAACTAGCAACTAAAGGAGAATAGCACAAGCTGTCCTACATTCAGTTTTAAGTCTGAATATACAGGTTTTTTTACCTTTTGTCTATCAGTTGTCCTTGACTTTTTTTGTGATATCCTTGTAATTTAATATAACCCACTGGGATTATTGTTTGTACTGGTTGGTGCAATAGTTAAAGCAGTGCCACACTAGAGCTGCTCAAATTCTCATCCCATTCCTATTATGCTACACTGTTCCCATAACACTATGGACAGGGACATGGAGAACATCATTAAAGAAAAAAACCCAACAATTCTTGGTCTGAAAATAAGCACCACCAGAAAATTAGATTCCAAGCTTGCAGACAGGGCTGAAAGCTAATCTTTAACTCAATCCCCACTCTCCTGGGAGTGAAAAGTACTCCCTCAAATTGCAGTAGTATTAATGGCAGCAAAATGCTCTGAAATTACAGTGCTGAAAGCCAAATAATTACCTCAGTACATTAGCCAAAGCGTCTCATATTTCAGACCCTTTTAACTTATTTTTTCAATTTTAGGCAGCGATTCAGAAGATTTCTCAGTTTGTGATTCTTGTGATTCACAAAGCAAGGACCATGTCAACTGTGACACTCTAAATTACAAATCATTAAATACAAGATTATGTGGAGAGAGACAAGGTAGAGTGATTGCAAAAATATGAGCATCTACAAGGAAACATGGCTTGTAGTTTTGTTTTTCTAAACCACGCATCTCTGTTTCCAGGATTTAGATGCAGATGCCCCAGGGGAAGCAAAGATCAAGTAAAACTCAGGAATTACAAAGAGTCTGTTCAGTCTTGTACCCTGTGTAGAAAAAGAAGCTCTGGTTCATCCTGTAAGTATGAAGTGTAGTTAAACATAGGCTAGCTTTTTAGGGGCAGAAAGCCACACTGCACATACCAGGCCACATTTAATTTAGTATAAGCAGCCATTAGCACTATAAATCCAACTTTTACACACCTGGTCAAGGTTTATCTCCATGCACAACAGATTTAACTTTCCCTGGTTCTTTATGAGTGGAATCCCTTTCATATTTCATTTATAGCAGGAATATCTCATTTTGCAGAGCCACATGAAAGGATATGAAAATTAGGCATTACTGTGCCAACTTTTATAATGCCAGCCATTACCTAACGTAGTATAAACAAGTACTAAAGAAAATTCCAGCCCTCATATGGTATGACATGCAGCAAAGTCAAGGGGAGCCTAATTAAAAAAAATTAAATCATCTGAACATGAACCTTTTCAAGTCACTTAGACTCTCTAGCATAAGAAAAAAATTGCTTAAAGAAAAATATAAAATTTCATCAAGAAGAAAGCATAAATTAACTACTTGTCTCTGGCAAGCCTGTGAAACTACAAATCAAAATAGTATTTGTTAGGATTATGACACTGATTATTCTACACTTCCCCACTGCAGTCTTTCACTGCATGCACTTGAATATAACTCTGCCTTCCATTTGCCAACTACACTCAAGAGCAAACGCAAAAAGTTAATCTGTCCTCATTTACAAAAAACTTTAAACATATTCAAGTTTTATTCAGCAGTGATGGTTACTTGATCTTTAATTTATGCTAAAGAGAAAAAAAAGTTAAAATACACAGACAATTACCTTGTTTTTTGTTTTAAACATGGCCTCAACAACTCCAGCTTATTCACAGAAGAGAATCTCCACTCAAAAGGCTCAAAAACCCAATCAGCCAGGTGAAGTTGTAACCAGACTTCATGAAAGGTAAGCTGTAGTAATAACCACATAGTACAATAGAAAACCCCATTGCTGAAGATTCAGCATGGAAAAAGCACACCAGGTATCATAAGCAGGAGTAATATTTTATCTTTCACAGTGCATGTTGTATATTGGAATTCCACTCTTTAGTGAAATGAAAATATTTGCGTGAAGAACATGTGTAAACAATTCTTAGATTAGTTCTTCACTCCCAGTGTAATGAAGAGTAAAAATGTAACTTCTTTAGCTGACACATTTAGTAATGAAATAAATTCACTTTAAGAGGATGTTCCCATTCAAAGATTCAAAAGCAGGCCTGCATTATTAGGACACAGCTCTGTTTGCTACCAACTATTTCTTTATAAGTAACAATCCTACCTTTTATTGTTGCTAACTTTAAATTACACCATGAGACAGAAACAAAATGGATTCCTAACAGTAGCACAGGCGAGACAGAAATGCAAACAAGTTTTGTGACAGTATTTTTTGACAGCTTTACTCAATAGCAGTAATTGCCTGGAAGTACAGCAGCTGCACTTGAGAATCAATGGCATAGAACACTGTGAGAAAGCTACAGCAGCAGCAGAATGCTGCTATTATGAGAAGTTTTCTTACTCTGCATCCTAGAACATTTTCTGTCTTCATGCAATCCAGATAGAACACAAATAATGATGGACTGTGCTTTACAATTCCATGGAAAATTCTACTCACCGTAAAATTAACTTGCAACTGAGTGCAAGGTGTATGTGATTCATACTTTAGAAGCTCTTTTTCTTGCTTAAATTGTATTTTATTCTATACATCTTATCTTTAGGAAATCCTTCGCAGCTGCCAAAACCTGCTGTTCAAGCACATATGATAAAATTATCCTTTCACATCAAGACATACCCAGTAAGAAATCTACCCAAAGAAAATCTGCAATCAACATCAGAGACAGAAATGCCAATGATTCCTATGCAAATGTAAGACTTCTGAGTGAAAATTAAAAGCCACACATCTTTCTTGAAAGGATTACCTCCATACATCATGGCACTGTAGAACATCCCATTCTTAGCAAGCTGATTACTACAATCTAAGCATGTGTAGTGCATTTGAGGGTAAGACAAGAGGGAGTTCAAACCCCAAGCATTTTGGCTTATATGTTACTATATTTCTTCATACAGGGATGTACAGACTTGTGCAACTCAGTCCCTGTATAAAAGGTGAAATAGACCAAAAAATAGCACTAGATCTTACCTCTAGAATCGTGTTTCATATACTGAAGGAAAGCCTAGCTAGACAAACCACTATCAAAACCTCAAAAATTATTTCTCAGTACCAAAAACATTCACCACACTGGAGCTGATACATTAGAAAGGTGTAAATATCCCTCAGTTCAAATGAATACACAAAGAGAGAAATGATTAACAGATACTTCCAACTTGAATCCTAAAACAGTCTATCACATGACTCAATTTTTACTTCTCAACACGTATTCAGAGTGAAAATCATGGACAAAACCTTAAACATCATCTTTTCCCAGTACCTGTGTGTACATTTGCCTTCACTATTAACAAGGCTACATTTTATTATTTCCAACAGGTTTTAAGTTCTACTCTGGATCATGCCATAGAGACAGCAAACAGTTTGAAGAAAGCTACAGAGCGAATGGTACAAGCAGTTTCAGAAGATCTAGCTAAAGTTAAAAGAAAGCAGTTTTAATTATCTAGTTCAAATGCTATATTGTTTTGCTGAAGTGGTAGTATCTCTGCAAAAATCAAATGATGAACACAAACATGAAAAAGTCAGCTAGCTTTGTCAGCTGTTCTGTACCTATTGGTACTAACCAAACCAGAGCACACAGGTATTCCACGATTACACTCAGTCTTAAAACTGTAAAACAAATTAGTAATTCTACTGAAAGTCTTTAGTAGGTTGGCTAATCCCATTATTGTGCACAGATACCTTCTGTAAGTATTCACTTAAGGCAACATCATAAAAATTGGCTTAAACAAGCAAAATTAACTTTCTGACTTGGATTTCCCCCCACTCCCAAGTGTGAGAATAATTCTCAGTCATTACTACACATCATTTCTTCTCACACTTCAACAGCAACTGCTTAATCACACCAAGAGAAAACAGCCTCTGTACCTGAGACATCTAGAAACAACTATCATGTTAACATACCAAATCATAGTCAACATTTGGAATTATTTTGGTTTTAGAGTGCCCTACATTGAGAGTTGTTTGTTTTTAAGAAACATCCTTGTATGTTGCAATGACTGAATTACACCGTTTGTTGTTTATGTGTTTGTAATAATTAAATTGGTTCCTTCAATTTGATGTCCTTAATTTGTCAGATATATCTGGCTTTGACATTTTAGCTGATGGTAAGTAGGTTGGAAAATATTAAAATACTGTAGAAATTCAGTGAGCCAAGAAAAATCATCTATAATTTTCTTTCTAACATCAGTTTAACTGTAGTGATTAATGACAAGCAGTTACCAGCCTTGTTTTATCAGGGATGCTACTCACCAAAGCCAAAGTACATAAGGACTGATGAAAACCAAATTAGAAATGCCAGTACATTCCTTAAAAAGGAGAGTCATTTTCAGGCAAGCCTGAGCAAGTTCATCAGTGGAGGACACAGAAATAAATAATCCAGACTCTGTTCATACAAGCAGTGATTGCCAAACTCACTGCCATGTGCCGCTTGCTCACTACCCTGAGTCATTTGGTGGTTTTCAGGGCTTCTTCCACCCTTCACAGCCAACAACACCATTCACCCCTTTTCCTCCTTAGCCTCTTATTTTATATCCTTATAAATTTATTTGCCTCTCATTATCCCTGGTTTTGCTTTATTTAGTTTAATGTTTGGAATCTCCCCATTATTTGCAAATGAACATATTAAATGAAGTAATTCCTGCAGCTTCCTAGATGCAATTAAAAAAAAAGATTCATCTCTTTCACAGAAATCCCTCCACATCACAAGAACATCTTGTTATAAACCTTTTGTTTATCCTGTATCCCTGTACCTGACAGCAGCTGCCTAAGAAAAGATCAGACTGAGTAAAACAATCACGTAGTGGAATTCCTCAGAACAGTCTCTGGCAAACTGAAGGCCCAGAATCCTTCCAAATCAGCAGAAACATTTGTACTTATTAGCCCTATAAATACTTATGTTGAGGATTTTTTCCCCGTATAACAATTTAGAGCATGTCATTACTGCATGACATCTGGGATGCTAAAGGTCCTTGTGCTCTGATTTGACAGCTGCAGCTTTCACCTGTCACTTCACACACTGAACAGGAAGGCAGTCCTTCAGTCTGAACACTAACAGGATTTCTGAGGCTTCCATCACACACTACACCATCATCTTTTTTCAAGATCCTTGATCTTTTGATCAAGGATGCTAGTCTAGCCATTCTTGACATGAAAATTGTTCTTTGATTTTCCCTAGTAATTTCTGAATCTTGTCCAGATTTTCCAAATTCAATTTTAAAAACCAATTGCTGGGCCCCCATGTAGCATTAGGTAAGTATTTTAATACACATAACATGAAAATATGAACTTGCAAAATTATAATATACCTTGTACATGTACTCTGAAATACTGAGATTTTGCTTATCCTAAGAGAACTCTTTCCCATTCTTGATGATATGATTCTTGACCTAGGAAAAATGTAGCAGAAAAGATCCTTGGGGAAAAAAACCCAAATATCTTGAATATAACTTCCACATACCCCCTTCATAAGCTGTTTTGAGCTCCATATTGGTGTCAGATTTCTTATCATAAAGCATCTTCATTATTCCACCTTTACAGTAACATTGGCTTCACTTCGCCTGGTGGGAAAAGTGGATATGGGATACAAAAAAAAAAAACAGACTAAGACTTTTGAGTTATCAGCTATCAGAGCTGGTGATAACACTTAGGCCTGAAGCAGAGACATGTTTAAAGACTTAAGTGCTGAATATACAGCAGTAATCCAGAATTGTGAGCTGATATTTCTTCAAGTCTATGCAATTAAAAAAATATCAACACAATGGATTTTATTTACTACTGAAATAAATTATTTCAGTCCTTAAGTGTAACACTGATATCAGCTATTCTGTACTTAACTACTTTCCAGCTTTAGGAATAGAAACTGCACCTACATATAGCTGTTACAACAAACTTGGGTTGCTCTTGCCAAAGGTGTAAGAAATACATATATCATTTTAGAGCAATTTTTCAATACCAATTTCAAAGTGTGCATCTTTACTAAAAACATGGAACACAGCATTTCTGAAATAAGCACTTTTACTCTGCATTTTTACTGTGATAGAGTTATAAATCAGAACTCACAAAAACAACATATTTCTGCTACATTTTTTAAGGTTGTGATGTACATGGTATTTGATGAACCAGTTGATTTAACAGTGTTGCTTCTGTACTCCCATTGAAAAAAATCCAGTGTAGATTCAATTCCAAACTTGTTTAGGTGCATTTGAAAGCTACAGCCACTTATTCTCATCACACCCCATGTCCTGCAACATTTTAGAATCATTATGTCATGTCCTCTCCCCTTTCATTCCTCTCTGATGTAGGGGGAGAACTTAACCTTTTTCCACCTTCTAATTAACTCTGAATGAACTCATCTAACAAAAATGTTCTCTTAAAGTATTGGTTAACCTGAGAGCAAAAATAAAGCGGAAAAACCCAAAATCACTAAAAAAAAAAAAATACTCATCATTGGGAAAATGTAAACAAAATGACACAAGCAATCTACTCTTTTTCATTCCAGCATTTCTCTTGGATTCTACATACAACAAATTAACATTTCAAGGCACATAAATACAACATCCTGTTAAAAGTTCAATAATTTTAATTCAGTAATTTTTAAAGAGAAATCTAAATATCACCAGTATTACAGAATTCATACAATTTGATTTTTTTATTCCCTTCAATGCAAGTTTAAGTATTTCTTAGCATGTAACAAGTATTTCTTAGTATGTAACAAAATTTTTAAAAAGTAAATTCTTTTGAGTGCATCAGGTTTTGTCATTTTGTTTGCTCTGTGCTTTTCTTTTCCAAGTTACCAATCCCTTTGAAAGACTGAGCTGTTTCCCTTTTTGTCCTGTCCTTTCCCTGTGCCTCCACTTCCTCAAAGAGACATGCTTAGTTTTGGAATTTCTGTATCACAGGCAATTCAACTTCTGAAAAAGACAGACTATGTAGACAATCATAAGGAATTTGCTAAGAAATGAACTTTTAAAAAAGCTTCAGTAATAATCTCTGTATATACTTAAATATAAAGTGTACTTCAGTGCACAGTTGAAGCATTTCTCCAAAGTTACTGTGATTGGAACTGCTCAATAATTGTGATTAACTATCTACCTTACCCAGCACCATCTTAAAAGCCTTTAGATTTTTCACAATTACACATATTTAAACATTTTTCAGCAAGTTATTTTTACAGAAAACATTACACTTTATGACACTGAACTTGTATTAAACATTTTCACCATAAATCTATATTTACAAGTTTTCTCTAAAAGTCCCTACCCAGGAGCCTAGGCCCTTCTTTAATTCAGTCATTTTTAGAAATAAATGCCATTATAGAGAGTTTTCACAGTTCTCAAAGACAATTCCACTTTATATATAGTTACAATAATTTTTCGCATAATTAGTTAGGAACAAACAGGCCCTTTTGAAAAAGCACTTGCAGTGTAATACTAAATGGAACCTAAGAAACACACATGTTCATCTTGTCATCTCTCTGCCTTCTACTCCCCCAAAAGCAGCAAATTTAAATTATAACATGACCTCCCACTAGGAAACATGTAGTATTGAAGTGCAGTATTTGGAAAAGTCAGTTCCATTAGAATATGTACATACTATTTGTGTTTTTATAAACATCACCATATCTATTCATCCTTAAGGCAGACCATATCCTTGGGTTTACTAAGGCTCTTCACTTCCTCTAGTAGTTTTCTAGGTGTCAAAATATGAGTAGAACCTGACAAAAAAACATAAGTATGAACTGTATCAGTCAAATTCTGACTTTCAGACATTCCCTCTTTAAAACATCAGTTACATGCCAGTGTTTTTTACTGCACCTGGAAAACTGACATGTGCAACAATTCCAAGGGTTTTCATATAAAGCACCTTCATGTAAGTGTCACCATTAGGTAGGCAATGTCCTTCTTCCCACACTCACACATCCAGATCAGGACTCATACTTTGAGTATGAGTTTCAAGTCCTGCTCTGCCCTGTTTGAAAGAGAGGACTGAACCTGGGCAATTGTCCCAGCCTGCAAGAAACCTGCCATTCTGTGAAAGGGTGAGTTATCGAGAGGCTTTACCCTAGAATCAATAAAGTATTTGGATTCAAGATTATCACAATCAGTAGTGTCCCACAGAAATAGCAGTTAGAGAAAATTGGCTTTTACTGACTAACATTTCCTTGGAAAAACAAAATTCAATTCTTGAGCAGCAAAGAAAATCCTTATTATTCTTCAGTGCACAACTACCTCTCTTATTCTCACAGGGAGTGATTATAACTTCTGCCACGAAGAGTCACCCTGCAGTTCTGAAGGCAACAAGTAGTGTCAGTCTGAATGGGCTAATAGTCCTGGAGCTCTGAATCAGGAGCACAGGAAAATGTTCATTTTTCAATAATCCACGTGGAAATTTGGCAATTATCACCTTCCCTCAGAAATCAGGATTACAAACAAAACTGC